TTTTTTTAGAAGAAATCTACAAGGCCCGGCTCTTAAATTCAAGTCCGTCCAGAACGCATTTTTCTGAATCGTCCTTGTCTGAATGTCGCATACACTTGCCTGCTGAACCATTAAACGATAAACTCTTCAATAGTAATAAAAACAAGGATGCTAAATGCGATGCTGCAAGCGGGATGGGTGTTGAGCTTCGATTTCCAAATTCCGTCACCAATCCCACTGCAGCCTTTGGGCTTGCAAATTTGCCTGACGGCTGTGCTCGCACTCGTGGGGCTCTAACACCTCTTGAGCAATCGTCTCGCTATTCCTTACTTTCCGATGGTAGCCTGAATCCTCTTAAACGTCGGGTTATGGGTCCTGATATGGTGCATACCCGTGATGCCGCTTTTTCCATGTTTCAGGATGTGGTATGTCTCTCTAGTGAGTTTACCTATTCATTCGCTAACCTTGTAAAATTCGTTAATAGTTTGTCCCATTTTTTCACACATTCGTAAAAAGTTACTAGCATGGTCTGGGATGACTTGAAATTTGACTGCCCCAAGGTATCCTTAACTCATTTTTATGTTATGGAGAATAAATGGATTTCGAAGAACTTCTTACTTATTTATCGTGACCTGGATTTCCATTTCGAAGGAAAAGTCGGTTTAAGGGAATTCATGAATTGGTATCCCTCGATTTCCAAGGTGACCTTTCCCGAATTTCTTTTAACCGACCTTTTTCCGAAACGGAAAGCCATGTTACGTTTCTGTGTCGTTTTTCCGTAATTGACATACCATAATCAATAGATCTTTGAGTTCAGGCGATACCAAAACGTTTGGTTTATAGCCAAAAAAATTGTTCATTATTGGCTCACTTGTTAATTATATGCAATGCATTCTAGCGTGATTTTGTCGTTATCGCTATTTCTTCTTCTATAATGACATGATGCATTATCGTAGAATCCCGATTTCCGCTGTTTGTGTTTATCTTTGTCTATCATCAATTACTGCAGATTAATGACTTATGTTATGTCATTCTTCCAATCACCGAATCAAGGCCACTTTACCCCTGTTACATAATTGCCTTAGCTTCCGCAATCGAATCGTGCCTTTATCTAGTATATTAAGACGAACACACTTAGAATGGTCAGTAACGGATTCTTTTGACATCAACTCCTGTGTGGATATTAATAGGACTCTTCTAAATTTGGTTAACTTTCCACATCCTCTATACTACAAACTGATAATACTACTTATTTTTCATGCCATCTTTTTTCTCATAAGAGACTCATTTATTTTGGATCATACTTATACAAATAAGTAATATTCTGATCTACAAAAGCAATTCTGACTGTGCAACGTAGCCCTCTGATACTACGCTTTACAAAGTTTAAATGCTAGTCCTGGGACCTAGCTATAGCTTAGCAGGTCCGAAGATGAGGCGATATAGCATTTAACTCTTTCCCAAAGGTTCTTTATTTCATTTCAGTGCTTTCTAGTTAGCTCTATACCTTCCTTGCTCCGCTACCAGAGAGTAGGGTATATTCGGCAGATACGTTGCCCTTATTGGATCTGCGCATCCTTTTGAGGTTGAAATTAGGATAATTATATAAAAATATATTTTGGGCTTACTAGACGTGTATGGAAAACTTAAACCCTATTTATGAAGTAAAGTACAGGCTTAGGAGAATTCCTCACTGCTTCTATTTCTTTGGACCCTTAATTTCGTTTGAAAGGCTAAGTCGAAAGAATTCGTAAATTCGCCATTTCGAAACCGAGGGTGTGATTGTGATCGTTGATTGGCCTTACTGAAAAGCTACCCTGACGCAGCAATATCTGATGTCATTTCACAGTTGACCTATGCTCGGTGAATTGTCGCCAAGTATGGTTACTTGCTATGAC